ATATTGTTTTTATATTGTTTTTATATCTATATCTTTCATATTGTTTTTATATCTTTTAGTAGTGTACGGATTTTTGTTTTTCTGTTTTTAATTATTTTATTTTTAGTGCTGGATGGGACTGTGACGACACGAAATGTGCAAACAATACAATATTTAGAAGCGCAAGAAAAAAAAAATGAACAAAATAAAAATTTGTCATGAAACTCAGGTAGCAATAGTTAATTATACAAACAATTTGAGTAAGAGAAAAAAAAACGAAAACATTAAATACCATGTGTTTAATTTATTTATTTTTTCTATTTTCCGGCAGACAATATTTAAGAAAAGATAATGAAATTCAGTCCAAAATTTCAGAAGTGAGGGAGCGTGCTTATATTCACATGGCGTGTGGAGAGCCAGCCACAACAACACATGTTAAACATGTGAAAATCGGCTATACTCTCAAAAATATCTGGGCCTATTTACACTATCCAACCGTAAATATTTTACTTACTATAATTAGGCGATATTTGTTTGATATACAATAGGGGGAGTTGATATTATAACGACTCATTATATAAGAACGAGTTTGATATAAGTTTAACTTCGTTGCCGTAATTTTTTGTTTGTTTTTCATTTGAATTTTTAATATGTTTTAAAAATATTTTATATGCTTTTATATGCTTTAAAAATTCTATTGAAAATTTGAAATTCATTAGAGTAAGTATTTATTAGAGTATATATATATATATATATATATATATTTTGTTAGCTCAGAACAATTCACAAATTTTACCTCAATGGGATAGTGTAAACGGACCTGAACAAACAGCGGCAAATATAATAACAAAAGATGAGAACTAAATTAACATTTTTTTTTGATAATCACCCGCAGTTATCAACAAATTCCGTTCGGTTCGAATCGAACAGGGTAAACATAAAATTCCGTTATGTCGCGAGTCCACAACAATTAGTCGATCGCAGTAATCGAAAGTGACAAGTCGTGGTGGTCGTGTTTTTAGTAGCGAGAAGTGAGTGTGCCAATTTGATTTCGCTTATTTGTCGTTTTGTTTTGAATTTAAAATTCAAAACGACGTCACAGTCATTGCGGCTAAGAAAAGGCCAGCCAGTCAGTAAACAAACAATCAAGTGGTTTTTAGTTGTATATTTTTGACTGGCTGACATTTAATCTACGATCAGTGAAGCTGAGAGTGCGAACAAGATCAGTTTCTTTTCAGTGTCAGTGAACTAACACCGGAAAACCGAAAAGTCCTGTCGAATACAATACAATACGATATAAACGTGTAATGTCTGTCCTTCGTGTGTAGCATTTTCTGTCGATCACAACTTTGTTTCCATGTCGGCTAAATACATTCTTGTGATTTGTGATCCATCATGAATATAATTAGAATACCCAGTAATACTAAGTGACGGTAATTGATAAAGTCCGTGCAGAAGGTGGTCACCACGATGATGATGCATAAAAATGTCATAATCAGACACCCGAGAAGTTTGCTTTTTATGGGCACACAGCACAAAAAAGAAAAAGCCCTTGATTGATGGCTACTTAATCACTTCGGTATATGAAGCTGGCTGACCAATACCGAAAACAGTCTTTTTCGCGATAGATAACAGATAACCGCAATGGAATTGTTCTTTTTTGTTTAAAACAGAAAAAAATACTATCGACAGTTGCCTTATTTATTATCTATGCCTGGAACCAAGAAGCAACGACAACAAAACTTGAGTGCTTTCATATTTTCATGTTGCTGACGAGCCGGCGAACAGATATTGACAGACCAACTGATATAGACATGTTGTGAACAGTGTTGAACTGGAGAGCATACAGAAGTTGTACAACAACGCAGACATGTTGAGTGGGTCAAAAGTCAACAAGTGTTTTAAATATTCCATAGCAGCAGCGGTAGTAGCATAGGGCAAAGTCCCAAATGTTGGTCGCCTCATCTCAGCTGCGAATCGTATATCCAGATATCCGTTGTGTGGGCTTGTGGTTCGTTTTTATATTGTGGTTATAAAAGTGAATCGACGACACAAGAAGAAAGTAAAAGTCCATGTGTAAGGGTGAATTGTGCTAATAATCCTATGACGCATAGAAAAATAAATTTTAAAATATACTCGGATATTTAATAATACGAACTTAAAACAAAGCATGTTACTGTTTATTGTTATTTGTTGTTATTGTTCTACGGCAGCACGATAATTATCAAATGTAATTATTTAGAACAACAACATCATGATATTGCAAAACAAAAATAAAAACAACAACAACTGTAACAGATATTTATTATTAAAGACCAGTGTGTTACGCTTGAGATTATTACAATGAGAGATATTTACTTTTCTTGCTTTTGTAGAATTCCATTTAGCGTGTGGTGAATGTTTTTATTTATTCGCACATTATTTTTCTATTTGAACCTGACCTATGAACATCAAAATAAAGCTGCATTAAATTTATTGCTTCCGAAAAATAAATAATAATTAAATGTATTTTGTGTAATCGAATTCATGGATATTCGTACGAAATAAATCTACATTGTTTTGAAATTGTGAAACATTTACGCATTGAGGAAAATGCATTTCAAATAAACGAATGAATTCTTATTCCTTTGAGCTTCGTCTTTGTGATCGATATTTTTGACATGAAATTTTATGGCGATCAAAAAATACATGTGGGCAATATTGCCAATTTTTTAATATTCCACTTTCAATGATTTTTGTTGCATATACAGGGAAAAATGTCCTGACTCCAAATCCGCTCGAGATCAAAGATCACCAAAGTGTTGATATATGGCTTCCTTCGTGAAATATAAATGTGGAGATATAAAAATTGCGAAAAAGTTTCACATTTTCGCGCGAAAAATAATAAAAATATAGGAGATTCGATTTGTATTTAATTACTAAAGACACATATAAATTAATTTAAAAATATATACATAACCTAAACTCCAAATGATAACAACATCACAAAAATGTGTAGAGCGGTTTGTAAATTACAGCAACAATAAAACAAGATATTGAGAAAATTGTTTGTTTTTGGTTCCAAAAGAAAAAAAATAAATAAATAAATAAATAAAAATAATCACTTCTTGCATACATATATAGACCTTGCGGATTTTAACAAGACCATTCAAATAAATCGTGGGGTTCTCTAATATTAAACTAAAACTATATTTTAAAATGCGTAATCCTCAAAAAACATTTGATGCGCATTCGGTTTCCAGGAAGTACTGAAGGTTATCTTCCAATCCATATATATTTTGTGAAATGTCATTTGACGGCTAATATATAGTACGAATAATTTTCAAAAAGTCCACACCTCTTTATCCGTCATCCGATTTCGGTGTACATCCTAAAAAATACATCAATCTGCACCTATTTCAATGCGGCCTATAAATAACCATGGATGTAGTAAATTATACTATTTTTGGGATAAATTGGGTAAATCTCTTTTTTGGCTAAAGCTTTTTTTCCGGAAAAGATCGAAATCCGCATCACATTATTTATTAAAGTACAAATGATCCAATCGGCGATATTATCGAAAACATTTTATGCAAAATTTCATGTTTTTGTAGGCCAGTTCCCCGGGTTTAAGTATATGGATTCGAACAGACGAATTACCAAAAAATAATTATAGGATTATTGTAATCATTTGAAAGTAGAAGAAATATTAAAAAATATCAGCACGAGTTGCAGATACAGAATAAACATAAATGCCTCAACCAGTTTTCACCCATTTTAATCAAGTTTGCAACAAGAGATCAATAAATAGAAAACAATTCAATTTTTCTCATATAGGTTTTGACGCTACCGTCCATTTAAAATTACGCTAAAAATGAAAATACCAGTTCTAGAAAACAAGTGTTTTTCAGTGAATTTCTATTAATTATTTTATTGTTGTATCTCGTTCTATACTCCCCTAGCTTCATACTGAAATTATTATTAAATTAAGTTTTAAAATTAAATTTAAGATATTGAAGAAAATTCCGGCTTCAGCTATATCATAAAATTGGCAATATTTACCATATTTATTTTATAATGATTACTTAGATGTCATTTTGAGGTCTTACACTTAATATACCCACCCACAATCTTATGACGCTGCCAATAAACAAATAAATAAATATTACTCGTAGATATTTCAAGAAATTCCATTACCACCCGTCGTAGACAGGTACTAACCTTACTTTTAAAATGTTTTATAGCCATTCTGCGATTCAATATCATTTACTGATAACGCCAATTTTGCTGAATTTTTAAGCGTGTCTGAATGTTATCGGCAATTTCCTACGTCGCTTGGTGACCACTCACACATTCAAAGATAACGCCAGCTAACATATTTTAAACTTTTTCATTTTTATTTAATTGAATTGAGGATCTTTAATTTTTTATTTTGAATTACAATTGTTTTATGACATAATTGATATATATGTACTACAATATTATATTACGGTTTTTAGCAGACGTGTGTGTGTGTATGTGGCGCACACTAATTTAAAGGGTGTTTATTAGGTTATCGGCAAACTAGAAAGCAAAGGAAATACTTTGGCAATTTTATGAATGGAAAAATGTTTGCAAAGAAATTTAGTTTTACAATCACAGTGGTTTGTGGCAATCACAGTGGTTTGTACAAAACCCCATGCAATATTTAATATGCAGTGGACTACTAAAGCGGCAAGACAAAAACATTTGGAATTTTTGGTTATAAATTCAAATTATTGGTTATAAATTAAATTAAATATTAAACAAATGTTTAATATTTAATTTAACATAAATACATGTTGGACAACGGCTTTAATTCATATTTATTTGTGACATAATATAGTACAAACCCTTGATAAGAAGACTACAAAAATATTAAGAGTAATGCATGATTTTTTCCCAGAGCTATTTACTAATTTTAATACACCTTACGAAACGTATATTTATTAATGAAATGTATTTATTTATGTTCTATAGATTTCCTAGCATCCAAGGGATGAGAATCCAAATACACCAACACAATGGTAGATGATGGCAAAACAAATACAACGATCTCAAGGGATTCGAGTACCAAAAATGGCACAACAAATTTGCCAAAACTTATAATTGCGGACAATAACAAAAAACAACCTGCGAAATCGATGCAACCCGCCAAGAAGGCGAAAAAGAAGAGACGTGATCACAGTGATTTGGGTGAAAATTTTGTGGCGCCCGATGGCGGTTGGGGTTGGCTGGTGGCCATTGCCAGCGGTGTCAATATTGTAGGATCTCAAATTAAAATATCTATTCATTAAAAACAAAAATAATAATAATTTTATATTTCAATTCCAGTTGGTGACATTTGCTATGGCACAACAGTTTGGCATTATATTTCGTGCTCATATGGCAGATTTGGGAATATCAAGTTCTCAGTTAACAACAATTATCAATACACAGGTCGCTGTATCAGCTATGACAGGTAAGAAAGAATTCGTTGGACTACTTTGAAAGTGCAAGTGATTTAAATAGGAGAAGATATCCGAAATATTTGCAAAAAAAGTAAAAAGTGCCAGTCGGCGTTGTCGACAGGAATATGATTTTAGGTATTCGGATTTCATCTAGGCTTGGTAAAGCTAATAGGTTGTGCAAAGTTTGGTTCGAATCGGACATTCCATTCGCCTGAACATAGTTATTGGATTTATAATTATTGAAAATGTTGACCAGAAGGAGTGGACCAAAGGATCCCATCTTCGGCTCGGTAAAGATAATAGGTTGTACAAAGTTTTGTTCAAATCGGATAGTCCGTTCGCATGATATTATATAATTTGTTTCCGCACAATTTTGACCATTTTGTGGGGGAGGTACCAGAAGGAGTGGAACGATATTCCCCATATTTAAACTTGAATTAAGTTTGGAGGAAATATTAAGATGTGCAAAGTTTGGATGAAATTTTCCTTCGAGAGTTATCATGCGCATCTGCCGGCCAGACGGACGGACATTTTCGACTCCAAATTGTCGGAAATGGAGTTGGTCCAAAGCAGCAATATTTCGCACCAAGTGCATATACCCTCATTAGCCATAAGGCTGAGGGTATAAAAAGTGTACGCATATAAAATTATATGCTGACTTTATGTATTAGGAAATTCCTCATAAATCAAAAGCATCTAAAATTAGGTGATAATATGCACTCAACCACTCCTATCTATAACTGGCAATGGAGAAAACTCTTCATTTTTCAAAAAAAAAAAAAAAAAAAAAAAAACATAGATAACGTTATTTTTATACAAGTCATCATTTGATATTATATCGACATAATTTGATAGAAAAAAATCACCTCTTCCACGAATAATAAACAATTTCAATAACTGGTCATCAGAAATAAGGGTAATGGGAATCAAAATTCTGAAGAGTTGAATTATAAATTCATTCCAATATAGTACGGCAAAATATTTTTTTGCAGTGGTGATCGATGAAAAGAACACTTTTAACATTAGTGTTATAAAATATGCTTAACGAATATATATCCCAAATTAATGGTATTAAAATTTCTTATTTACTTTGTACTTTGTCTTTGTACTGAGACTTTAGACCGATCGTGCAGATTTGTTATTTCATTAACTGCGACCACTTGATAATACGAGTACGAGTATTTAGGAATATCAATAAATATCCTACCTATCCAAATCTTCAATAATGAACATTATTGCAATTTCCACACATACCTTTGTTGTCTTTATCTATGAAAATGATCTTAACCAGAGCGAACTTCGCGAATCGATGTAAACTGGTACTATATTTTAGTGATATCAGTTTGTCAAAAGCCATTTTCCCACTTGCATCATATATTCAAACATTTTAATAGACTTCAAACAACATTACTTATATAAATTAAATAAATCAGTCAATTAATTTTCTATTTTTTCTTCATCCATTTCCAGGCTTACTTAATGGTCCAATATTTCGTAGATTTTCATATCGGCAAGTGGCGTTGGTGGGGTCTTTTCTGACCTTCATAGGTTTATTTGCTTGTGTCTTTGCAGAATCCTTTGTTTTTTATGTGTTGTCTTTCTCTTGCTGCTATGGTAAGTCTGTAATTAAAAGTGAAGATTGTGTCCCTAATAAATATATCTTTCACTTCAATTTCAGGATTCGGAAGAGGCTTAACCGTATCTGCTTCATCACTCGCCGTTAATACGTTCTTTAAGGAGAGAAGACGCACAGCCACTGCCTATCAGTTCGGTGTGGCTGGCTTAGGTCCAATTGTTCTTCCCTACGTGGCAACCTTCCTTTTGGGCATGGTTGGTGTCCGTTATACGGTTCTGTTCTTTGCTGGCTTGTCACTGAATACAATTGCCTGTTCGTTGGTATACCAACCAGTCTTGTGGCATGTCAAGAAACCTGCCGAAGATGCGGAGGCGTCAAAGAAGCTAAACGCAAACAATAATAATGATGAGGATGATCATATTATTGCCCAGCCTGTCGAACCGGACACTCCAACCTTGCCACGTGCTAATGATGGATGGTTTGGATCGAAATCTTCTTTAAATTCGACCTCATATCGCAATCGATTGGGTTCAATGGATAAGAAGCAGCAGAGTGATGAGCAAGGTGTTGAATTGAAACGCTTGAATAGCAATCACAGCGATGTTGCTGCCAAGGTGCGAAGTTTTTCCATAAGCCACAGCATTAAAGAGGAAAAGGATGGCGAAGAGAACGAAGATAATGAACAAAAAACACAATTGAAAGAATACAATAACAATAATAACACACTGAAAAAGACTGACGACGATGAGGACGACGAAGAACCGCCCAAAAAACTATCAATTCTTATGAAAATTGTGATCTTTTTCGATTTGGATTTACTTCGTGACATTACATACTTGAATTTGGCCATGGGCTTGACCCTCATCAATTTTGTCGAAATCAACTTTGCCATCTTAACGCCATTCATTCTGTCCGACTTCGGATTTGCCAGTCATCAGATTGCATTGGCCATGTCATTGTTGGGATTGTGTGATTTGGTTGTGCGATTCCTGGTGCCCCTCATAACAGCAAAAATTAACCTGGACAACAAGACATTCTTCGCCATTGGCATCTTGGGCATGTGCCTGGGTCGCCTGCTGCTGTCGTTCACCACAAACTTCTATTTCATGATTGCCATTTTTGCATGGATGGGTCTGAACAAGGCGTTCCGTACAGTATTCTGGTCACTTATCATTCCAGGCTATGTACCCTTGAAGAGATTGCCGGCAGCTGCTGGGTTGCAATTACTCTTATCTGGGGTATTTTCAATGGCTTGTGGTCCTCTGATCGGTAAGAAGTGACAATTAGTCAGATTTCGTATAAGTACTAATAATGTTTTATTTTACATCACAGGTCTGATTCGTGATCGAACCAGTTATGCATTTACGCTAAACTTCCTCAACATGTTGTGTGTTGTGGCCATTGGCCTTTGGGTACTGGAATCAGTAATACGAAAATACAAGGGCAAAGCAAAACCATTGACCGATGGTCCCTAAATCCACTTACCAGCAATTCCAACAATTCCATTATTTTAATTTTTCGTTTCCAGTTCATTTTTCATTATTTATGCTCTTTTGAAATGTCCAGTGTCCTCCTTCACCACTACAATTAACATTAAGATAAGTTCAAAGTTATTGCATAGGTTATTCTATTAAATCATAAATTTGTTTGTAAATATACACACATATACATACGTACATAGCTTGTGATACCAATTTGACATTTTTTGTACATTTTAGTGCATTTAATTTTATAATTTTAGTTTAAAAATATATCTGTATACGAAATACAAATGTTTTTTGTTGTTTCTTTACTAATTCTAGAAGTAGATTACTTAGAAAAAATATGAAAATTATGCATTGAAAATAGAATTTCAAAGCAAACTCTTAAATTAATATATGAGCATTTGGTCTGTTCCCGTACTGCAATAAAGTAAAATTCGTTATCGTAGTAAAAAGTGGTAGATTCTCGCAGTACGGGAACAGACCAATTGTGTTCTATAGTATAATATTATAATCGAATCATGAATATTAGAGAAATTCATTGATATCGAAGTCTTAATCTAAAACATGATGTGTTATGTTATATATTACAGTTGCATTAAATCAGTGGTAGGCATAACAAAATTGAGCGTACGTGTGGGTGAGCGTAATTAAGAAATCATCATTAAAAACGACCATTGACACTCAGATACGGTAGCGTGTATAGCCGAGCATGCCTGCATTAAATCAATGTATTCTCAACGCTTCCGTAAAGAAAGGACCAAAGTACGGTGGTTGCCAATCCGATACTAACGATACTCACACAACAGGGTTAACACAAAACATTGAATAACCTTGACTCTTTCAGTCAGTATATTTTATGTTTAAAGTACGAAAAACTCGTCCGGAAAATTTGACTAATTCCCAAGAATCAAAGACCACATTTTCAATGCTGGAACTTGTGTTGATTTAAAAAATATTTGAGTCAAATGTTGCAAAACTTGGAGGTACGGTTGTATGGGGAATATATCAAAACATGGTCCCAAGAACCTCCCTTTCAATAACAGAAAATGTTTTGATATAAGAACCATTTGAGCCAAATTGTGGCAGTCTATGTCAAGTTGTTCGGTAGTTAAATAGTATTTATCCTATGTTTGGGTAAATTCTCGGGTATTTTCAACCGAAGTAACTACAATTGAGTATATGATTGTTTAATATTGTACCCCTACAACAATATAAAACAATAAAATCATGGAATACAATTTCCAAAGTTTCGACATTACGCTCTTATAAGGGTCCCGAACAATTAATGATATTTTGAGGGCGCAAAAGTCCCCCAATTTTTATTTTATTTTCTAATGATAGAAAGGAAAAAGAATATGTGTAGTCATTTCGCAGTTCTCGATTTTCCTCCAAATAATATATAATGCGTGCATTATTAGATAACATTAGAAACGTGCACATTTTTGGTCTGATTGACAACGATCCAGAACATTGCAAGACAAAGAGGGAATTGTTATAATGGAACTCCATATTATCTGTATCATATTCATTACAACAAAAGTCAAATTACAATTCGTTCAAATTTCATCTGGATAGTAATGAGAACTCTGCTCTTCTCACGTGCTCTCCAACTTCTTTAATAATGTGTGTTTATATACATAGATGATGGATAACAACATATTCCGTTTGGGGGTTTATCTGGATCTCTGGACTTTCGAGACCATGCAAATATATGACTTTTTCTGATATGTTTATTACATTTGTCGACATTTTAGCGCAAATAGAAACTCTCTTTCTTTTCAAAAAAGTCAAGATAGGTGAACAATTTTACATAGTTTGGACAAAACAAATAACTCAGAGTCAAATGGGCTACAATCAACTCTGTTATACTGCAATAAACTGTGGGATATCATAAGACCGGAATTGAGCCATTATTCTGAATACCGGATAGGTGTCACTTCCACTAAAATTTGGATGGAACAAATTTATATGTTTTTGTTTCAACAAAGCAGAGTCGACTGTAAATGACACTGTACTAAATATGCTTAAAAATCTGTGCCGTTGATTTTATCTTTATGGTCTTTGTGGGCATGTTATCTTTTTTGTTTTCTGTTATAAAAAACAAACACCCACAGCAGACACAAGATTTTTTCCTGAATTATATTTATTACAATCAATGGCATATAAATATATTAGTCTCATTTATTATGATTTTCATTTATTTTTAATTTAATCTAAATAAATCACAAAAATGGTGTAATCTTTGTTTGATGGGACGAAATGAAATACTGAATTTACAATAACAAATTAACACAGTTAATAAAAACAAACATTTCTTATCACGCTGATTTGAAGGTTTATGGTAACGAACTGCAAAGAAAAGATTCAGGTGAGCTAAATACTTTTCTGAACAGCAAAATCAGTTAGAATGACATCGCGAAAGTAGACAGTAGACGGTAAAGTAAACCTCCGAGGTGTTTTGCGGAATTTACAAACAATATCTTCGCGTAAAAACGTTTTATTCCAATATGCAAGTTAATCGCATTCATTTTATTATCTAACTTACACAATCCAATCGAATTAATAATGTCTGACGAGCGGGAAAATCTAAATTCAGCAAAAAATGATTCAATCACCAAAACCGAACAGATTCTAACAACATCAATTCAAACAAAGAAAAAACGAAAGAACAAAAGTGATTTGGGAGAGAATTTTGTTGCACCTGATGGTGGCTGGGGGTGGTTTGTGAGCATTGCCAGTGGTGCGAATACCGTAAGTTTAAATAAGTAAGTCCTACAATGAAGAATGGATAGAGGCAAAATAATAAATAAATAACTTTTGTTTTTGCAAAATAGTCAGGCTGAATCCGAACTGATGAGGATCAGTGGCGTGATCCGAAACTATAGTCTTCCCTGCCTCACCCCTCGGCAAACAATGTCATACATTCCCCACTAATAAATAGTTGTTTTTGTATAAAAACAACAAACTGAGATTCAGCCTGACTATTTTGCAAAAACAAAATACAAATGGTATCCCAAATAAACCGCCAACACTACAAAAAATAAATAAATAACAATAAAAAATTAACGTTACGTTCTACTTGAAAATGTTTTACCATCACTTTCAGTCAAATTAATGAGAAATTGCATTACTTTCTTGTGGAAACTTAATACGCTACCCTGATCCAGAGTATTTTAGTGACCTTTATAATAACAATTCAAAATATATAACTACTTTTGTTGTTTTTCTTAAAAATGGAATCGAGAGAAAAAGTTCGGCATTCAAATACTACGGAATTTCAATGATAAAATAATTTGATTTGTAAAAAACATAAACTAATTAAAGGGAAAGTCGGAACTGTCCTATAAGTACAAACTTAAAATTGCATCGTAAGTGGCATCTCCAATTGGAATTCACATCTTCTGGTAATAACCGTACAATGTGTCAGCATTAAGTAGACTCACAAATCTCTCAGATAATATTCGTAGATAATAATTATAAATAATATATCATATTATGCTAATATCAATTCATGCATATCAATCAATATATTATATATATTGCAGTTAGTAACATTTGCCACAGCTCAACAGTTCGGTATTATATTTCGTGGACATTTGGCTGATTTGGGTATAACCAGTTCGCAGCTTACCACAATTATCAATACACAATTGGCAGTTTCGGCTGTATCGGGTAAGACATAATTTAACCTCAAAGTTCAAACCATTGTAAAACCGTGTCTCTCATTTTTAGGAATATTCAATGGAGCCTTATTCCGTCGCTTTACCTATCGACAGGTTGCCTTATTGGGTTCCCTTTTAACATTTGTTGGTTTATTTGGCTGTGTTTTTGCCAATACATTTCTGTTTTATTTGTTTGCATATTCCGTTTGCTATGGTAAGTTCGAATTGTGGATGCAAATAAGAAAGAAATAATAAATTGTCACCTTTACAGGATTGGGACGAGGATTTGTTATTTCGGCTTCAGCATTAGCTATAAATATATATTTTAAGAAGAAAAGACGCGCAGCGGCCTCATATCAATTTGGAGTGGCGGCCCTGGGACCAATAATACTGCCGTATGTGGCCACGTATCTGTTAAGCAGTGTGGGAGTAAGATACACAGCTTTGAGTTTTGCTGCTCTCTCTTTGAACACGATACCTTTTTCATTGGTTTATCAGCCAGTAAGATGGCATGTTAAGAAGCAAGATAAAGACGAAGAATCTTTGCGAAGCAAATTCGAAAAAAGTAAAAAGGTTAATGGGCGCCCACATTCCGAGGTCAATGAAGCAAATGCAAAGAAAAAATCACCTCTAATGAAAATAGTTAAGTTCTTCGATTTGGATTTACTGCGAGATCTGAGCTATCTCAACTTATCCATTGGCTTGACATTAATAAATTTCGCTGAAATTAACTTTGCCATATTGACACCTTTCATATTGTCCGATTTTGGTTTTGAGAATGATCAAATAGCCTTGGCTATGTCTTTGCTGGGTCTTTGTGATCTCATTGTACGATTTTTGGTACCTCTCATAACAGCCAAAGTAGAATTGGGCAATAAAGTACTATTTGCCATTGGACTTTTGGGAATGTGTATTGGACGTGTTGTGCTTTCCTTCTCCATAACATTCGACCTGATGATTGCCACATTCCTATGGCTTGGCATAAGCAAAGGATTCCGTACTGTATTTTGGTCGCTGATTTTACCGGGATATGTACCACTCAAACGATTGCCGGCTGCTGTAGGATTACAGAGATTAATGTCTGGGATTTTCTCTATGGCATGCGGTCCTATTATCGGTATGTAATAACATCATTTCGTTGATAAATGAGTAATTCAAACGAGATCTATTTTTGTTTGCTTTGTAGGTCTTATGCGGGATAAAACCAGTTATTCGACTGTATTGAACTTTTTCAATATTCTCTGTGTTCTGGCTTTATTTATGTGGTTTCTGGAATCCATAATTCGCCGGTGTGGCAAAAGTAAAATGTTATCAGACCCTAAAAACTCCAAAAACTAATGTTAAGTAGATTTTCGATGTCAGATTTATAAAAAAAAATATTTAATAATATTTCATTCTTATGATCCCGAATAAAATGGAACACTCAATGGTTTAGTTTTACATTAAATTATAAATTCAATTTATTATTAATATTTATGGGCTACAACATTGAAGATTGAACTTACAACCGGATTTATTATAACAAACTCAATAATAACACTATATATGTCTGATATAAATCGATTGCGATAAAAAACACTACTAAAATGTAATTGTAACTAAAAAAACTCGCACAATTTTAATGCGGTAACATTTATTAAACAGTGAGGGGAAAGTAGGCATACACTATTAATTAAATAATAATTATTACAATTTATTGACTGGACGTACTTCCACAACTGTTCTGGAAGTACGTCCTGGAGTTCTGGAGTCAGAGCTGTATGATAAACTCTTATAAATTTTACTTATTTACAACGATTTTCAAAATATGAGGAATATAATATAGGTGGGATTTCGTATCCCATCATTTGACCCAACAAGGAATTAGTGATATTTTATATTGAAATAAAGCTCTCATTGTTATTTTTCTCTGATTATATGTAAAACATTTACCAATGACACAACATTTGTCCAGTCAACATGAAATTTTGCATTTGCATAGGTACTGTAGCTGTCAAGGGGACCCCCTCATACTCGATTCCTCGTTTCCGCCATTCCAAAAAACATGTTTACAGTTTGAGAGGCACTCTTGAAGCTACACAATAATTCGGCATATATTCAAGAGTTGTTACTATTTTCTCTAGAAAGTGACATTGTTGAATTAGTGTAGGTTCGAATTCAATAAAAAATGGAGGGAAGTTGTTATGAAAACTTGCCACACAATGTAAGTATTAATTATTTGACAATATATAATAATGTTTAACAAATATGTTTTTCTTGAATTTTAAAGGGTGTATGACAAGTTTGTTAGCATTGTAAGATAATCATATATCAACGAGTGTGTCAGGAAATTGTGATCATGGAATAGTGGGGGAATTTGTTCCTTAATGTTATCGCTGTTGGCAGATTCGCTGACCCTATAGATTGTAGATGTTACGGAAAATCGAACGAAAACTTTCGATATACATGAACGTTTTTAGGGGTTTTCGTTCGGATGAGGAAACAAACTGGCAGCCAATATTGATATAGCTTATTTAATATAAAGCTGATGTAGGAAGTTTGAAAAAACCTATATTTAGTATTCTAGTGTAAAAGAATCACAATGACATAATTTCGTTAGAGCCACTGTAAACTTCATATGTCTGATTATGTGAATAAAGTGTAATGTAATGACTTTTGTTATCTGTAAATGATAAAACCTCTAGACAGCCAATGTCGATGTTTGTTGTCAAATCGATTAGTTGTCTAATCAAAAACTAAAAAAAAAACAAATAATAACAGAGAGAAAATGCGTATTAAAATGAGAGATAGTGGGGAGAGAGAGAGAGAGAGAGCGAGTTACACACAACAAATAAAAACCCAAATTAAATGTTTGCTGGAAGATTGGTAGATCAGTCAAATCATATAATATCTGAATCTAGAATGTCAATAACTGAGAAGGACTCAGGGTTTTTTAGAGAGAGTTATTTTGCTAATGATCACACATTGATATCTTGTTATCGGTAAAATATTTGATTCGTACAACAATTGTACAAATCGGGAATGTAAGTAATGAGCACTTCAAAGTAGTGCAATACAAATTCAGTTAAGGAAAATGATTGGAATAAGAACTGCGAAATGCATTCGCGACAGTTGCTATAAATTAAGTAAAGACTTTCCAATAGGCTTGAGTCGTTTATTGTGTGTCGACATTTAAGCTCACCAGTTTGTAGAGAATTGATATCGGGAATAAATAATATATATAATATAAAGTTTAGTGTGAAATTTTCGATGGAATGTGATCTCTAAAATATAAATATATTATTAATATTAATTACAATTAATAATTGAAACAACATTCTGTTAAATGCCATTGAATATTTAATGAAAAATTGTTAAATTAAAATAAACCCGCTATGTAAAAAATATGATAGGAAATCATTGTTCAGCGTACGTAGAACACGACGATTACAAATCGAAGTTTCTCGAGTTTGTAAAGAACCATGTAAACCGGGTCGACGCATCCCAGTGTCCAGTGTAACTAATCTAGTTCTGATTTGAATATCAAAAAAAAAAAAAAATTCATATGATTGAAATAAAACAGAACCACTATTTTTCCTGTAATTTCCCGGGAAATATATCTCTTACTAATACATCAATTAATATTTTTTGTTAACAAAATGGTTAAACAACAACATGTGAGGCATGAACATAATTCAACCGTTTACAAAGAAACAACAGAACCAAAGAAACGAGATAAAAGTGATTTGGGACCAAATTTCATAGCACCCGATGGAGGATGGGGTTGGGTAGTATGCATTGCGGCGGGCCTGAGTAATGTGAGTAAAACTTAATCATTACAAAATTACTAACATCAACTAAACATGATCTCGACAGCTGTCTTTATTCCCCGCTTTAATGCAATACGCTCTCGTCTATAGGGAACGAATGATCAAATTGAATTTCGATGCGAAACAAATTGCCACAATTATCAATGCCATGTTGGCTATTTCTTCTCTGGTAGGTCTGGTGAATGGTGCCATGTTTAGGAGATTCTCATTCCGACAAGTGGCGATAGTTGGAAGTTGTATGGTGTTTGCTGGTGTCCTCCTGACGGTCGTCTGTGAGAGCTTTCTTCAATATATTATCTGTTATTCAACCATTTATGGTAGGTCAGATCACAAATGTCAATAAGACCACACACCATTATTAAAACTTTGTTTTCAGGTATTGGATTGGGTCTTACAATGTCAGCAAATGCTTTGGCGGTAAATGTCTACTTTGAAAATAAACGAAGAAAAGCCACTGGCTTTTCATGGACCCTTACTGGCTTAGGTCCCATTATATTTCCACATATTTCCATATTTCTACTGACCTATTATGGTTCTCAGGGTACAATATTGGTTTATGCTGGTATATCATTGCACACACTTCTCAGCTCTTTAACTTTGCAACCAGTTCAGTGGCACACGACTAAACAGACCGCTGGTGGCAATAAACCAAATGACACATTTGAATGTGAGTATTGCCAATATCAAAGGAAACGGAAACGTAGTAGTATTTTTTCCGGAGGATATCCATCGAATGACGAGAATAATCTCACAACACACGGATATGAGATAATTGAAACGGGCACTCCGATTAGAGCTGGTGCCAATGATGGTTGGTTTGGTTCTAAAATGTCATTGACTGCAGCGTCGTCTTCCCAGCACAGATCGATGAAACTTTTAAAACAAATTTCCAAGCAAGACAGCATAGAGAACGGCGATGGATGCAACGAGAATGAACCACAACAGAATTCTCTCTACGAACCAAATAGTTTTCATCGTGGAAGAAAAATTTCCACGATATCCATGGCATGTACAACCCACTGTACGTGTGCCGAAGAAAAGCGACTATTGCTGAATGTCGGGGACACAATGAAACAAGAAGAGCCAGCGAAAGTGCAATTTTTACTGCAGGACGAAGATGAACAACTGAAGAGAACTCAAATGTCTTGTTTACAAAAAGTTGCGGTGTTCTTCGATTTGGATTTGCTAAAGGATTTGACATTCATTAACTTGGTTGTGGGCATGACAATTATGATGTTTGGCGAAGTAAATTTCTCTGTATTGACACCGTTCATCCTAAATAGTTTTGGCTATAACGACTCTCAAATTTCCATTGCTATGTCTTTACTTGCCGGTGTTGATATAGCTGTACGCTTTCTGGCCCCCTTTGCATTGGAGCGGGTTAAAATTACCAACAGTATGTCCTTTGCCATTGGAATTCTTGCCATTACCGTTGGAAGAATGGCGGTGACATTGACCAATTCCTATTACCTTGTGTTGGCAGTATTTATACTGATCGGATTTGGAAAGGGGTTGCGTATGATTTTTGCTCAACTTCTCATTCCCAGCTACGTTCCGCTCAATAGATTGGCTGCTGCGTCTGGTTTACAATTGATATTCAATTCGATTGTTTCATTTACTGTGGGACCATTGTTGGGTAAGTATTTTTCTGGTATATTTGTTAAATCAATTGGATAAATAAATCGATTGTTTTTGTTGTTTTTTTTTCAAAGGAATGATTACCGACCAATACGGATTTAATGCCACCATTCATTTTCTGAATATTATAACTGCTGTGACGTTGCTATTTTGGGTATTGGAGTATTTGTTTCGCAAAAACACGACACAAAAATGACCACCGTTGTAAATAGTTTGTAATGTTGTAAATGTGAATGATGAACAAGGGGAATGGCACTAGGACTTCCTATATGGGTCGTTTCTTTTGAAAGTGGTTTAAGTCCATGTTTTGTAATATTGAAATATTTAACGGTTTGGGTTTGATTTTGTTTCAAAAATATAGTTAAGTGGTATAACTTTTGTTTGTATCTACCTTCCCATAAACATTGTAGATTATATAACGTAATATGTTTTGTTAACTTTTCTAGAAAATCAAGATATGTATCAGAACATCAATGGTATTGTTTTGGCAAGTACGGTACTCCAAGAAACAGGAGATTCCCAAGCAGTTAGCATTTAACGAATAGTCTTTTTAAGAAAATGTATTTATGTAGGAATAGGGTAAATTTGTTTCCTTTAATCGTCCTCCTTGATCAATTTTTGTAAGGCATTTAAAATAAATTGAAAAATTATAATGAAGAATTACTATTTATATATGTTACAAAAATAGATTAATCGTGGAGTGAAATGGGTTAATAGTGTATGGGGTTGTACGTGCGTCTTTCTCTAGGAGAAAGAAAATATACTGCCAGAAATAAACCACAAAAGCTTTGAGGACAATATTCTAGATAAGTATATAGGGTCAAAAATTCTTTTCGTATTAACAACAAACAAATTGTCTTCTGGCCTGTTAGCACTAACGTGTAGAAATTATTCTATAAGTTAGATAGCATATTAACGCATTCACTATTGGGCCGAGGTTCGTGGGATCGCAGAGGATGAATTCGTTTTGCAGTTCATTCGGTAATTCTTAAGTTAAACAATTGCGGGATCCAAATGCCGATCAGAGGGAGTTTGTGGTGGTGATGTCTGTAACATCAATCAGTATCTATGATTGATCAAGCTCAGGAAGTTGAGAAAGAAAGTGTACAACTTTCATAGGTATGCTGGAAAATTTTAATACACAAGATCGCTAGGTACCTATACATGGTCACCATTAAGACTTTATATTGGACGGATAAAATTCTATACCATAAGATTTAAGAAACCCATAATTACAGAATTGTCATAGGCAGCGCAGTTCTGCAAATTTTATAATATCTTTCACAATCCTTAATTACTAAAGTTGTTTATTAAAATTTAAGGCTTTAAAAGATGGTTATTTTTGAAAGGCAGTACTACAAATTATTTGTGATAACCAACATAGACAAGTGTTAATACATCATGCCTTGACACTTGTCATACAGATATTATCATATGAAATTATGTATGAAAACATATCATACATAATTTTTGTTGGCTAGTGTAGACGATATACATAGCATGTTATGTTATCAATATTAAATAAAATTTAGAAAATCAATGTCACTATCAAATTTCAATTAGATTATTGAACTTCATATATGAACTGTTCTGCCATTTCTTCGTACCAACATTTCTCTTTAACAACAGAAAATAGGTAGAATAGGTTGGGAGAGTATAAAGTACAAATATAGACGACTAACTAGATTACTATACGTCACAGTAGACATGTACCATCAACAAATAAGCTTTAGCTCTGCTAATCAAACATCAAACATCCAATTACCAACCACACTTGTTGTTGCTGTTTCGGCCATAAAAGATGATTCACATAAGAGAGTGTAGAAATTACCCTTACAGTGATCGTAAAACACATGAGATAATACTCTCTTCAATAAACCATGGGGGCCAGTAAAGAGAATATGACTAATGGCTCATCGGCATTGTTGTATGTTAACGATGACTTGTTAAAATTTGCGTTGCCTAATTCTAATATCAGTTACATATGCATGTGTGTATGTAGATATAATGCTGTATGAAAAGTGAATAACTGCAATGTGCTATAAAAATCAAAAATAAGTTAAATCTCATATTCGAGTTTTTACATTAATATTTTTGTTTTGAAAAGAGCAGAACACTGAATAAAATATTGCCCCAAAATGAAAACATTTGAGTTTGATTGACTATTTTTCTCTCAACACAAAAAGTACGATAAGCCATTCACGAGGAGAGAGATACGTCAGTTGAACATGACGCTTCAGTACTGACATTCTAACTATAAAATATGTGGGGGCTGGTGTCTGCTCTCAAGTCAGTTAGCGTGCGTCGGCCAGTAAAGTTATATCGGAAGAAACGCGAAGTGATCATACAATTGATACATTAAAAAAGGGCGCTTTTCAACGACGCTTAACATCGGTATTAACGGTGTCTATCAAATGTTATCAGACCCACATAAATCAGTTAACGTAAGTGTTCAGTGAGTTTGAACGTTGTGATTGCATAGCGTTGTTAATGCACAACTAAACAATAATTAATTCCAAAAAGCAATCAAAATGTATTTTAATCTAATGAAGTGCGTGGAAACACCAATTAGAATTAGTTACAATAAAGTAATTTGCAAACAACGGGATTTTTTTCAAATTGAAATTGATTGGACTGCAGTGGATATACCTATGATCATAACAACGACGACAACTAACACATTTGGAAATGGGGCTGAAATAAAGTGAATTTTCAATCCAAATGTCATATCCTCAAAATTGTGAAATGGGATTTTACTAATATGTACCAGATAATATTTTTGAAGGACTTATTTAAAAATATCGTATATATTAATTGTACATGTTAAGACGCGAATTTATTCGTTATTGCTATAAATTGTTGTTATTCATTGCAAATTACTTATTTCGACATCGGTATATACATTTATGTTTCCAAAATTTGTTATGACAAACTGATAGATAAAACGTAAAATGACAGTGTAGAAATATGAATGCTGATTAAATCGGAAGGCACTTATTGGTGTTCCCAAATAAAGACAATTGCTTGGTGGAATTTTTTCCATACTTATGTCAAATTTCAGCAAAATCAAAGAAGCAATTTCAGTTGATAATGAAAACGATGTTGTTGTGTTAAGTAGATAGTTGACTATCAAAAATATGTTGGAAATGTACAGAGGGAGCGTATTATTAACCACTGAAAGAAATTATTCATACGTGTAGATGATGAGATTTGGTTGTTAGGGCGCAAAAATGTGCACTCTTGCCAATATTGTAAATGTTAATCCCCATGTGCAGGCTCTGTGATTTAGGTAACATTCTTTCTGAATTTTTAATTAAAGAACGGTAGACCAACATTCGCCCAAATAAGAATAATATACGAAAGACTAACAACACTCAAACTTTTCGATTGCATACCGTCTGACATCTGTATCAAATCTTGGTAACTTATCTGAAATTATGTTTGTTTAGCTTCTTTACGTTATCTAGTTTTGACACTTGACATTTTAAAAGTATACATATCATTATATTAACATACAACAAATATTGTTTGCATGTCACTTTTAGTCACGCTTCCATTATTAACATCTGCTGGTAAGTAGGAAGGAGGAAGTGATAACTGAGTATACTACTTTTTACCAAAATTTTATCAGAGCCGTTTTTTTTTCAAAATAACATAAACAATAATTCAACATTTTGGATTAAAGAAAACAGCTACAGTGACTTTTTCGGGACAATATGGCTAATGAAGTACCAATTTGTTACCCAATTCGTAGAGCTTTACCATGAAGCTACTGCTATTGAGAGCAAATGCGGCACGTCTCACACACATATAATGTGTGATCTGAAAATGTGTGAAATGAAAATTGTTCTTCCTCCCTTAAGTAATGGGTAAGCAGATAATCGTATTGTGATCCCATTTGATATTCGCACCATCGTCGGTATCACATTCATTAACATTCAGCTTTTGAAACACCACAACTACATTGATTGTTATCAAAAAACAAAATATATTTGTTTAAATTCTGCAAGGGCATCAGCACTTAAAATACAAGCCGATTAAACAAGTTATCGAACATTACTCAAAATCAAATCTTCAAATAACATCAATATCATGTCCTGATTGATTGCGCGAATTGAAGTCTACGTTATCGATAGAACTTCCTCCTTACTAAAATATGTCATGGAAAAATAGTTAACATAAAACGCATATATTTTGTTTTTAATGATAGTGCATAGTAAAGTTAGGCCTTTCAGCTTACCGAGCTTGCGATGAAACCCCGATTTTCTTTTTTCTATTCATTTTAATTTTTTTTTTTATAAACACAATCACAGCTTATTTTGATTTTAAATTGCAGATCATCGAATAAATAAACACCAATATGGGCGAAAAGAAAGTTATAATTGAAGAGGCCAATAATGGTGCCGTGTACAAGGAAACAACAAAACCTAAGAAACCAAAAAGGCGCAACAAATGTGATTTAGGTCCTAATTTTATAGCTCCAGACGGTGGATGGGGCTGGGTGATTTGTATAGCATCCGGTTTATGTAATGTAAGTTGAAATGAAATACTCGCTAACAGTACATACATACTAATAATCTCTTCTTCGTGATAATAGCTGTCATTGTTCCCGCCGATGCAACAGTATGGTCTCGTCTACAGACAACGAATGGCCAAATTTGGATTTGATGCTAAGCAGATTACAACAATTGTCAATGCAATGATGGCGCTGTCTTCGTTGATTGGCCTGGTAAACGGTGCCATGTTCCGCAGATTCACTTTTCGGCAGGTGGGCTTAGTCGGCAGTGCCATGGCTTTCACGGGCATTTTATTATCGGCGTTTTGTGAGACATTCGTTCAATACATTATCTGCTTGTCGACAATTTACGGTAAGTTATTGACAGGGGCGTCTTGCAAAGATTGTCAAAAAACTAATAGCTATCTTTGTGTATTTCCAGGGATTGGTATGGGTTTCTGTATGGCCTCAAACGCTTTGGCTGTAAACACATATTTCAAAAATAAACGCAGAAAAGCTACCGGTTTTACGTGGACTCTGACCGGTTTGGGCCCCATCATATTTCCTCACGTGTCCATGTTGTTGTTATCCCATTATGGACCTCAGGGTACAATATTGGTATTTGCCGGTATTGCACTGAATGGAATCGTATGTGCCCTGACTCTGCAACCGGTCCAGAGGCATGCACCCAAACCCGAGCAGGAAAATGTGAAGGAATCCAATGAAATAGATTTATTCGAGTGTGATTATTGCCAAAGTCAAAAGAAGGAAAGGCGTGGCATCTTCAGCGGCGAATATCTCTTCAATGAAGATGATCCCGAAACACCTGGGTATGAAATTATTGAACCAGGTACACCAATGATAGCACGGGCCAACGATGGTTGGTATGGTTCGAAACTGTCGCTGGCGACAGCACCTCGCTACCGATCAACACGACTACTGAAGCAGCTTTCGAAGCAGAGCAGTTTTGAGAATGAACACGATCCACAACAGGAGAGCTATCTGTCCCAGAGCAATCACTTCCATCGCGAAAGAAGGGAAATGCAACGCCAAATTAGCCGTATCAGCCTGAAGTCTAAAACAGAATCTGCTCACTGCACATGCGCTGAGGAGAAGGCACTCTTGCAGAAAGTAAACGAAGAAGCAAAACGGGAGGAAGAAGCAAGATTGCAAGCTCTGATAGAAGAAGAGGAACTACGGAAAAGCCGCATGTCAGTTTGGCAAAAAATCGTTGTATTTTTCGATTTGGATCTGCTGAAGGATTTCACATTCATAAATCTTGTTGTGGGCATGACCATAATGACATTCGGAGAAATGAATTTTGCCGTGTTGACTCCATTTATTCTCAACAGCTTTGGCTATAGTGACACACAAATCTCCATAGCTATGTCTGTACTGGCCGGCGTTGATATTTCGGTACGTTTTCTTGGTCCATTTGCTCTGGAAAAGGTTAAATTGGGCAATCGTGCACTATTTGCCATTGGCATTATCGCTATTTCGATTGGTCGCTTTTTTGTGACATTTACCGACTCCTACAACGTTGTCTTGGGCCTGTTTATGTTGGTTGGCTTTGGCAAGGGATTGCGTACTATTTTCGCACCACTGATTATTCCCAGTTATGTTCCACTGAAGAGATTGCCAGCTGCATCCGGTTTGCAGTTGATATTCAACTCAATTGTATCGTTTTCATTGGGTCCAGTATTAGGTGAGATTTGCGAAAGAAATCAGTTTGTCTTCTTTTACTATTTATAATATTTATTTCATTTTAGGAACTATTACCGATCAGTATGGCTACAGAATCACAATTCATTTTATAAACTTGTTAACCGGGACTACATTACTTTTCTGGTTTATTGAGTCATTGGTTAGGCGAATGCTAAAGAAGAAGTCCGCCACGGCGCCTAGTGAGTCTTGAAGCATCTGAGCATTTGGAAAAACTCCTGCCCACCGTCTATGTAAATTATATTCTTAATTACATTAATTCATATTTTATAATTCACTCTAAAAGACTGTTTGATATTTTAGAATTCTAGTTATGTAGATATGTAAAGTAACCCACCTTTGTTGTTATATTTATAAGTATTATATAATAAATGTTTGAACAATTTTTAATTATTTCCTTTTTTATTTTTATCTTGTAATCGTAACACGCAACGTGAAAAAAATTTAAGAAACTAAACAAATCCATGAACAACGGATAAAATTCGAATTGAAAAGCACATAAAAGAAAAATAGAAATGCGAGCACATCTCTTTAAAATTATTAGGACTCACTGATGAATCGAGTTCCAGGACTTTTTCGAATGGCGTCAAATTTATAATTTATGTTAAATTTGATCATGATACTCAAAATCGATTTGTTCAACTTGAATGTGACGTAGCATTTTCTCATTACATAAAAAACATTGGAAAATATCATACTTAAGGGGACCCCCCCCCCATTCTCGGGGTCAAAAATTTTGTTGATATAATTTGAATCTACACTGATTAAAGAATGTCTCTACAAAATTTCAAGTGAAAATCTCAAGAACTCTTGAAGATATAGCCGATTTATTGTGTCAGCATCAAGTGACGGCTGAAGGGCTTCTCAAACTTTAAACGCGTTTTTCTCTAAACATTTTTTTGCGAATGGCGGGCACGATAACTCAATAAATAATAATCCAATCGGTTCCAAATTTTGCAACGTTTCTCTGGGAGTGTATAGCTCTCGTATGAACTAGGATAAAGCCAATCGGTGAAGATCTTCCTTATTTTTTAACTTGGTTTTTGGTAAAAAATCGGAGATTTTCCAAAAATATTTTTTCAAAGGTCCACCATTTTGTTAATTTTAGAGCGAAGTCAATAATCCTAGTTCATACGAGAGCCAGACATGTACTCTTTCTAACACCGTTGGAATTTTCGGATTCCGATGTTCCAGTGAGGAGTTATCATGTCCGCCATCAAAAATAAGGACTTTTTTTAATTACAAAAACAATAACAAAAATTGTTTGTAAATTATTTTTCTTCTCTTTTAAATCTTCAATTATATATGTGCAAAGTTACAAACCTTAACAAGCATTGGTATTGATTTACCAGCCCATTGAAAATCTTGAAAAATTAAAATCGAGAATGGGGGGTTCCCTTAAATTTTCAGACACATTCATCATTTCCAGAACAGAGATAGCGAATTTGTATATATATATATATATATATTTAATAAAACTTATTGAGGTTATTACAATTTATATTATTATTCAGAATTATGTCTACCGAAATCTTCAATTTGGTTTTAATCTGGTCACCCTAAAAATACCAATAACCACATTTAAAAGTAGCAATTGAGAGTAATGCTAAAATATGTTTGATATGATAACGCAATGTTTGGTATATATTCTCAAATTTAAAAACTCAATTCAATAAAATTAAAGAACGCTATCGCCAAATATTTGCTAAGTCTGATGGCGTGCGCGGACCTCTCAACAACTCGAATCAATAATTGACGGAAAGATTTAAAAAAAGTATATATAAAAAATTAATTTTGTAAGGAGTACGAAAAACAACAACAAATTATTTTAAAAGTGGCAAGATAATCAACTTAGTCGTCGCCAATAAATATATCTGTAAAAGAGGAAAATGTGCGTATACAATGACCAGCGAGTTTTTAATCACTTTGATTGGAATCTAATTGGAATGTCGAAAGTAGTAAAATATCTATGAAATTATTTTCTTTTTTTAAGAAGTTCTTTGTGACGATTGTGCGCGCGGATAGTTTAATCGTATATATATTACTTTGTAAAGTAATATTTGTTGGATTATGCGTTTTTTTTTTAAATTTAATCCGAACTCAAATAAATGTAAACATCGTTTACGAAACAAATATAAAGTGATCACAAACAAATGTTTATCAATTACGTCATACCGATTGGTGGTTTTTAAATTAAAACGACTTGTTGTCGGCAGTCTCAGTTATAAAATAATAATTCCTCGATTAGTATCTGCGGAAAACCCAACTATTTCCCATTTAATAACATAGCGTGGAAGAAAGGCGCGTGGCCGCGGTCAGACTGATGGGCGAATTTTAAAATGATGAATTATTTTAATTGTTGTCATAGAACATGATAATGAGCTAAATTCTATTCATATTCTTTCAATATATTTGTGATCGATTGCTAATCACTCTATTAAATTCATTTAAAGAAATAACAAATATTACAAATGAGAAATGTCTCTGAAAACAATTAATCCATGTACCTTGATATGGATACAAATAAAATAACGGATATATAAGACTAATGTTTATTTATTTGGCTGAAATTATGTTTATAATATTTATTATTTTTCAAACGAACAAAATATAAATATTGTTTCTATTACGTTATTAGGTTTTGGTAGGGCACTTTTGATTTTCAATGGGTTAGCAGATTGCAAAAAATGCAATACATTCTAAACATAAACGTAATCAGTAAGGTTTGACCTACAGTCACGTGTTGTGTTGCTTATAGTGACTTAAAAAATACTTTAAAGGACATTAACACATGAACATTTTCGTATTTTCACGGCAAGAGTGAATCGTTGAATTTAAATATTTGTATGACGGTGAAGCACCATCCTACAATACTGTGAAAAACTGTTTTAATAAATTGAGCCCGATGGTGCGTATATAGAACCGGTTTTAGGTTTCCATCCGAATTGTTAATTGTTTGACATTGACAGCCATTTTCCCTATCTACAATTACTGAATTCAAAATCTCATTGTAAAAATGTATGGTATAGTTCCACTTCTAGGTAAACTTGGTTGGTGTATCTTCTACTGCAATACCCCTTATTTAGGAAATCCCTAATGTTTATCACATTTTCCAAAATCATAAAAACAGTTCAAATATTTCCCATAATTTCCCATCATTGTATCAAACCAGATTTTTTCCGCAAATAGTTCAATAAACAATGAAAAATACATTTCATGCTAAAAATACAAATCTATTTTGAAATTGTTTAATATTATACAATTATTTTCACGCAAAAGCCATAGCATGCTAATACAATTCAAAATGCATTTTCTATTTATTTTAGTATTTTATTGAAATTAAGCCGATGAAAGTAGAGAGATTCATTGGTGGCAAATATGGCGAAAGATAAATCAGAACCCGTCAACAAAACTAAAGATTCGAATGGCACAATCAAGACTAAGATACCAAAACGGCGGGACAAAAGCGATTTGGGACCCAATTTCATAGCTCCAGATGGTGGTTGGGGTTGGGTTGTATGTATTGCGGCTGGTTTGAGTAACGTAAGCAAACACACAATTTTATTATTCAAATACAAATCTCAAGTTTTTGTTTGGCGAATAGTTTTCAGTACTCCCAGCTTTGCAACAATACGGCTTAATTTATCGGCAAAGGATGACCTCATTTGGCTTTGAATCCAAGGAAACCACTGCAATTTTTAATGTGGCCATGGCATTGTCTTCATTGGTTGGATTGGTCAATGGTGCAATGTTTCGAAGATTTACATTTAGACAGGTGGGCATGGTCGGAGGCATTCTCACCTTCAGTGGCATTTTATTTTCAGCATTTTGTACAACATTTACCGAATTTGTTGTATTCTTCTCTTGTATTTATGGTATGTCAACTAAATTTCATTATTTATTCTACAGATTCAAATTACATTTTAATTGCATTTCCAGGTCTGGGAATGGGTCTCTCAATGGGTGCAAGTGCATTGGCAGTAAACACCTACTTTAAGAAAAAACGAAGACGGGCCACTGGGTTCTCGTGGACCATAACTGGACTAGGTCCCATTATATTCCCTCAAATATCACGACTTGCCCTCGGTTACTATGGTAGTCAGGGTTGCATTTTCATATTTTCGGCAATTGCCTTAAATGCTTTTCTAAGTGCATTAACATTTCAACCTGTTCTGTGGCATTCTGCTAAATCTGAAGACAATAAAATTGTAAAGAGTGAGGAGGATGAAAAAGGCGAAGAAGTTCAATGTAAATACTGCCGGCAGTCGGAAAATATAGCTGAAAAAAGAAGTATGTTTTCTTCCCAATATCTCTTTAATGAAGACGACCCAGAAACACCTGGATATGAAATAATTGAACCCGCCACACCGATGATGACCCGTGCCAATGATGGTTGGTATGGATCCAAGTTATCGTTAGCTGAAAGTAGATCCATTAAAGATGTTAGAAAAAACTCCATACATAATGGTGGACAAAGGGTAACAAATCTGACAAAACCCAATTACTTTAATCGTGAAATGGAAGTTGCAAACCATAATGCCTCTAACAATGGCTGCCAATGTAATTGTGCCGAGGAAAAGGCTTTCCTACAAATTAAAAAGAAAGAGGAGGAACTCACCAAAATGCAAATGCAACAAGAGGAGGAGACAAAGAGCCGTATGTCATTCTGGCAAAAGGTTGTTGTATTTTTCGATTTCGATTTACTGACAGATATGACATTCTTGAACTTGGCCGTTGGCATGACCATAATGATGTTCGGCGAAATTAATTTTTCCATATTGACGCCGTTTATTCTAAATAGTTTTGGCTATAGCGATACCCAAATATCCTTGGCAATGTCTTTGCTGGCCATTGTAGATATCGCGGTGCGTTTCCTGTCGCCTTTCGTGTTGGAAAAAGTAAAATTGACCAATCGAGTGTTGTTTGCATTTGGCATCATTGCCATATCCATAGGACGTTTAATAGTGACTCTGACAGATTCGTATAATGTCATATTGGTCGTATTTGCCTTGATTGGATTTGGCAAGGGATTCCGTACAATTTTCTCGCCCCTTATTATACCAAGTTATGTTCCATTGAAACGTTTACCGGCAGCGTCGGGACTACAATTGATTTTTAGTTCATTGGCATATTTTTTGCTGGGTCAAGTGTTGGGTAAGTCTTCCTGTTTTGTAATGTACATCAACGAGTACGAAATAATGATGTTTATATTTCCTTTTTTAGGTATAATAACTGACCGATTTGGATACTCTGCAACAATACATAGCATCAATTGTTTGACATTGTTGTCTTTATCGCTGTGGCTATTGGAATCTTTAGTTCGAAGATGTCTGGGTAAAAAATTCCCAGACGATGTCAATTAATAACTGATGATCAATTAAGGATTCCTTAGATAATAGTTGTATAGTTTTTTTACGTTATGTTAGTGCATTAGTTTAGCAAGTACATTACACTATATATGGTCAAACTAAAAATAATTATGAAAATATGTACAAGAAAATATTTGTATAATTATCTTTTTAATACCAGAATAATGTTCGCTATATGAGTAACGATTTATATGCAAAAAAATGTTTTAAAGCTTCGGGACCAGGAAATGTGTTCGCTATAATTAAAAATTGTTATAACCGATGTTTGTTATAAGCGTACCCGACTGTTTTTACATATAATACACATTTTTGGTTTGGGTTTTTTTGGCTTGGAACTTATATTAGGACAAGAAATTGAACAAGGAATTGAATATTGCAGTTTTAACATTTTCATAAATTCAAAATAACAAATTCATAAATTCATTTTCATAAACTAAAATGTTTTAAAATGTCTGTATAATTCATCTGACTGGAAACTCCACTTTGAAGTTTTCACAAAAAAAACTTTTTAATAAATTCCTAATAAAAGACAGTGAACGAACGAGAAATAAATAAAAGTTATATAAATTATTAAACTGTAGGTTAAGTCACGGAAAAAAATACGACATAATAAATTAATAATGCCATAAATTTTCAGCTAAAATAGCATTACTGTTGCCAGTAATAGCGTCATTGTGTTATTATGTAGTATGCTTTTAGGCGTTAAAAAATAATATTGATGGATCAACAATGATTTAAATATTATGTTATTCTGCAATGTTATTCCCTTGAAGGTAAAATGATTCGAGTGGTTTGGACAATTTTTAAAATTTTGTTTTAATCATATATTCATATACATGAAACATGTAAACGGCATTAAATTTCGAAACTCCTATTTTATTCATTGACGTAGTAATAAAAAATGTGACAATATTTCATTTTTGCGCCACTTTTGTAAAAAAAAATCCACAAAAAATAATATTTACATATAATCGGGTAACTTGTTACCCATTGTTGCCCTCGCTAAAGATACCCATTAAATTCATCTCGTATAATTTCTTTTGGCATGGTGTTTATTATATTCACCAAGACTGATCGAAGAAGACTAGGGGTAGCATGTGAACGGAAAGCGTGTGTGTACAAAAAGTACTATAGTTGGTGCAAATTTATTTTGGAGGTAAAAATCGAGCTGAAATCCTGAAATTTGAAATTAACATTACCATCGGTATATGTACGTATTTTTGGATTGGGGTAAGTCGGAAGTTTTGGAAATTGGTTCTACTATGTACTAAATTTGGTACAAATTGAATTGTGGGTGAACCGATAGAGTTGGAATCCTGAAATTTGAATTTAAGATATTGTATCGACAATTTTGAAAATTTGGATTCACAATTCTACTAATTTATAGTATGTATTGTGATATATTTGTTCAACATATCCAAAATACAGATTCATTTTATTCATATTTTTCTATTCTTATAAAAAATTCCTTTTTCGTTAAAATAAGATCATAACGAACCGACAACCTTTAGTACATCGCACTATGAAGTTCTTAAATTAAATTCAAATAATTATGATATTACTATACCATGCAAACAATTACAGAATAATTTTTAAGTTTTAATGAACAATATATATTTATATAAAACCACAATGACGGAGGCGATATTATGCATACGAAAATGTCTACCATACGGTGAAAAGTAAAAGAAAAAAATACATAATTCACTTTTCCAAAATGATATACGATTTCGATACATGTTTACAAATTAATTTCCCAAAATAGTCTATTAAAATCACTATCGGATTATACAAGCAGTTGGGTTGTAATGTTATTGCCTTCTTATCGAACATAAACTATAATTCCTACCAAGAAAACGTCATTGAAATGCAAGCCATCAAACTCATTTACAAAAATAACAAAACAACACTCCAAGAACTCAACTCAAGTATTTTGCCTGTTTGCTACGGCTACGCTTCTTGTTCCCAACTACAGTGCAATGGAAGTGTGAGTGTGTTTGTGTGCGCCTGCTTTTCTCTGCTAGTGTACATGACGATCAGCAAGTTGTGTGTTCAACGGCTCCTTCCCCCACTCGGAATATCAAGGCATTCTCTTGAAAATAATTTATAAATGAAATTAATTTCAATGAATTTGTGTTTGTGAGCTACTACTTTGTATGCCCAACAATTTAATTTATGGAGAAAAAGAGTGTATATGGCTATTGACGAAGCAGCGACACTTGCCTTTGTGTGACAAACAACGAGTCGCTCAACGATGTTGGAATTTTAACGAAATGGTACCAAACATGAACTACATGTATATAAATATATATATATATATATATATTTTAATTTGTTCTCTACAGTATTTGTTATCTATAGTATGGAATTGTTTTATAAACAACAAATTATATATTTTACTTTTTATTTTAAATTTAAATTAATAATTAACTTTTAGAAAATCTTATATAAAAATAAGTTTTTCTATATGGTCGTTTTTCTTCTTTTATCTCTGGAACTGAAGAAAAATGTGGCTTTCACCGTTTCTTAAACATTAGGTTATGTTATTTTAAGTTGTGTTCATTTACGGGTAAGAATCTACAACGTTAATAATTTTAAAATATGGTAAGAAAAAATGTATTTTGTCTTGAAAAGGTGGTACAGGACTTTAAATTTGATTTTTCCCTTGGTATTAACTGATATTGACAGAATGAACATTTTTATAATTTATTTTGGGTTGCATCGTTAAAGGTCAATGCAGATTACAGAGATTTTACAAATCAACGTTTTAAATGAATTTATTAACTTATTTTCCAATTTTCAAAACATGAACATGAAAAAGGAAATAGTATTTAAACTACACTGATGCTCTCCGTAGATAAAAATGACATATCAATATTGCCAAGTTTAATATTTCCAAGTACTGGGAATCCCAAATACTGATGTCACGATAAACACAAATAAATACTTTCTTTTCGGTGAGGAACAGGTTATTTTATATACATATTATTTTTTAACTTGTTTCAGCCGGCACATGTTTAATCTTTTTTTCCGAAAAAGAAATGAATCGTAAAATATGTAGGGAATAAATACATAAAGTATTGGGGCATATAGGGATCAAATGTTATAATAAAACGTTTTATTGGAGATTCTGTCACCCACCATGAGTTATCATCTCAAATCGCTGAGAATTTATTGTAACACCTAATAAAATAAAGAAAGTACTATGGACGCAATATTCTCAGCAATGGTCATTCAAGAACATAAACATTTATTGGACTCCTCTGTAGATAACTATCTCTCTGTACGTGTGTTTATAAACAAACAATCAAATAACCACATACACACACATATCCATTTAGATATAAGTAAGTCGAGTGCGTTTAATCATGAAATTGATCGCTTAAGTGCGGCGTGGTGGGACAGCGCCAGTTAAATTGAAATTAATTGATTGTGGAACGCTAAACAATGACACAACAAAAACACATCACAACACAACAATGAATGAACGAGAGAGCGAGCGAGCGATCGTACGAACGAACGAAGGAAAATGAATTAATTAACAAATGTAAATAATCAAATTGCAGTTAAGTGGGAGACACACACATATACCACCAACGATCCTCCAAGTTCTATCCAAGGCTCTGACTACAACAATTTCTGAAGAGGTACATGATTAGAATGAAGAGGAAAATGGTTTTCAAGTGCCCTGCAACAGGTACAGCTTAAGGGGGTGGTTACCGAGTGGGGGCATATTATCGTTAATTGAATTATTTTTATGATTGCTCCACCACGTCTGATTTTATGCGGTTTTCTTAAATGATTGAGGGTTTCCCAAGCTGAGAACAATGTGGAGCATAAATATGAAGTTAATTGAAGGCTGGTGTTTTACAAGAAAGGACACTTGAAAAATAAATCATTGACATGTGGTTCAAATAGCAACACGATAAACAATTTCGTAAAATAGACAAATTTTCCAAGATGTTTAGAAATGAGTTTCGATATTATTTTTGTAGTTTTATATATGAAGATATATATTTGAATTGTATTTAAAAATATATATAAAAATATATATAATCTTAACTTTGAGCGTTTTTGAGAAACAATTTTTAATAAAATTAACTACTTGATTGTCTCGAAAATTAATTTTAAAACAAATGAGCCGAGCAATATAATGGGACGGAACAGATCATACATAACTATTGCTGCTACTTTCTAAGGAGCTAAATTCCTATCTTAGAATATGAAATGGACAACAGATCAAAAACCAAACGCAACTTTTTGGGATGCAATATGCACAAAAAAACTTGGTCCATTTGACCCGCTAAATGTTGACTGATTATCATTCAATCAGCCCAGCATATTTGTTGGCAAGAACATAATTTCCCGCGTACAATTTCTTATAATTGTAGTCATAATTGTGGACGTTATAGCAACTAGAAAAATATTTTTGATTAATTTCATCTAGTAAAAACTTTTGCCAGAAACGAACATACATGCAAAAATCCGTGAATGAACTAAAAGCATATATGCAGAAATTCTTAATTTCAACAATTATTCCTGAAACAAAATTCTCTTTGTACTAAAGTAATGAAGAAAATTATGCTCTCAAAATTTGAAAACATTTAATTGCAACAACTATTTACCATCAAATTAATAGTAGCGGTTCAAGAAAAAGCTTGTCGAGAAAATAAACGGTAGCATTTTATGAGTATTTAGTGCGGTAACAAATTTTACTCGTATTTGCTGAGATTTTATGGCAGGGGGCTTTTACTTTTAGTGGCAATTCAACCGCAATAGAGATAACGGACAAATTAGAATTCGGCAACCTCACACGGCCACAGCACAACACAGAGCAGAATAGCATTTCAATCACAGATGGGTGACAGACCATGCTGTGTGTACCCCCTATATAATTCAACATTTGAGGTAATCCATGAAATGAGTCATTCCCTTTATGAAAAATAATTTCAAAATGTAGCTTAAAAACGAAGTTAAATGTATTTATGGTTCAC